CGAATTGTGTGAATCATTCATTTTTGTATTATCTATTAACGTCATTGTATTGTTTTTGTATTATTTGATTCTATTCCAATGTCAGCTGACCTGATGAAGAGATGTAATCTTGAAAGCTCGTCAATTAAACTTTAAACACCCTTATTCTATACCTTGACTTTGTTTTTATCTACACGGGTGTTCGTGTGTGACTTTACTTCTATATATATATATATATATTTATATAATAGAGTGGGAATCATTCTTCCCTAAACCTCTTTCCAACTATGACGACATTGCGAAGTAGGCACTCACCAAAACCGTGAGTACTTGTTCCATTCTACGCTGTGCTCAACCAGCGTCAGGTTCTGCACGACGCCCACCGCATCGTCGCTGTGCGCGCTCCCGATTGGCTTACCGAGGGCGCGCGCGTAACCCTGCACGACGGCATACGGTATCGTCCCGCCCTCCGCCTCCGCAACTGTCTTCCGTAGGTGTTCATCGATCGGGAGAAGCTGGGCTTCCTGCGTGGAATATGAGAGATGATAAGGTTTGTGTAGGAGGTGTGCAACCAAGTCAGGCGATATATAACAGACAATAGTGCAAAAAGCTTTTAACCTGGAATTGTCGTCTGAAAAGGCGTACTGACCTTTCAGCACCAACCTATATGTGAATCAAGAACTAACTAGGTATTATCAGTTAGTATCATCAAATTTGTATTAGTTTAGATATCGAATTCCAGCTTGGCACGAAGTATAATCTATGACCTATACCGGCAACTTGAATAGACCATCATAAGCAAGTCATTGGTCATCGTGAACATGTCTCTGAGTCTCTCTCACTATAGCTCCACCAGCATATTAGCCCCTAGCTTTAGTACTATAGCTCCAAGCAACGACCAAGTACATCGAAAGACTCCTTATATTGACATAATCATTAGGCCACCATTTTTTATTTTGTTGGTTTACAGAATTTTTTGTTTTTTTACATTTAAATTTTTTTAATTCATATTTCTTAGAAAAAAGGTCGGCAGAAATAAAAAAATACAGATTTTCAATTTTTATTTGTTTTCGTTTTTCTTGAAAATTCGGGTCGGTTGTTTAGTATTATGTTTATATTTTTATGAGGTATGTTTAGGGTTAGGGTTAGGGTTAGGGTTAGGGTTAGGGTTAGGGTTAGGGTTAGGGTTAGTGTTAGGGTTATGGTTAGGGTACACTTCTGTAGTACAAGTCTGGTACACTTTGTGTATACATATATATGTACCTCGGACGGTATTTCCTTGCCTTTACTCGCACTTCACCCTCATGTAGTTCGACACAGTTTTCTATGTTATTGTTTATTTTAATACCTAGGTATGTGTATTCGTTAACGATTTCTAGACTTAGCCTCCCGGCCTAGTTTGAAATTTACATCCTCATATTCCGCCTTAGTTTTATTAAAAATCATGATTATAGAAGATATTGCAAGACAGGCAAACGGAACGTTGTAAAAATTAATAACGTAGAAATGATAATATGATATCTCATGGGTCATATCATATATGGTTATATCACAAATTTATCAGCAAAAAGATGAGTACAAATTACGATTTACGAGAAATTTTAAATAAAAAACGTGAAGGTTATATTATACGCAGCTAGACAGCTGTTGCATTTATTTATATATCACATGACCATTTCCTACAAAAAATACAGCGCTTGTTGTGAACACACACACAGTCCAATACTCACGCACTTGTTACTGCTGGTAGGTTTCTAGAAAAATGACTGAATTATCTCCGATTCGTCTAACAGCTACGAATAACAATGCTTCATGTGCCTGTACAAATTCAACCCCAAAAATAAATTTATATTTTAGAATTAGAATTTCTACGTACTGTGTGATTGGTGCACCGGTGCAAAACAAGCGAACACCTTCATGACAAGATAGTATCACAATCCGTGTGGCGCACGAACAAAAGCGAATGCTCCAGGAGAGGACCGCAATTTAACTGGCACAAAACAAGTGAGCGCCTTACGACAAGAACCTTCCGCAATCCTTGCATCAGCCAGCCTACAACAAGTGAACGTGCTCGCGAGATGAACGTCGGCACGCCAACGCAAAACAAGCGAACGTCCTCACGCGGCGAACGCCAGCGCGAAACAAGCGAACGTGCTCACGAGAGGAACGTCGGCACGATGCGCGACACGTCGGCGCGGCACACGGGACAGTGCATCGTCGGTAGCTGCTCGACGCAGTCGTAGCACAGGCAGATGTGTCCGCACTCCAGCATCACGCACTCGCGCGGATTCTCCATGCACACGACGCACGGCTCCAGCGCCGCGGCGCGCCGCTCCTGCCGCTCGACACTCCCCGCCGCCAGATGGCGCCGGCGCTCCTCTGCGCGCTCGCGGTTGCGGCGCGCGTCCGAGCGGATGCGCCACGCACGGTAGCTGCGCTCGGCGACGACGACGGCGAGACCGACACCGACGACGCCCGCGGCGACGGCGAAGAAACGAAACCAGCGCGACTTCCCCTCGAACGACCGCATCAGCTCGGAGTGCGAGAGCGTCGTGACGATGTAGAGGGCGCCGCATGACGGCGGACGCACTACGACGTCGCCGTCGATGGCGATCTCACCGACGGCGGTGACGCGCGTGCCCTCTAACAGCATGCGCTCGGTCTCCTCGAGGCCCTTTGTCTTGCTGCCGCTAAGCCAGTCCATGACATGTTCACCGACGGAGCTCTGGCGCGAATCGTAGTGGTGGTAGATGACCGAGAGGCTTTCGTCGAGGCCGTGAGCAAGGGTCGGGTCGGCGACACTCACGCCGTGGCCGTGGCAGTCGAGCGCGAACGGGACGACGTTGGTCGCGTCGCGTATCGTCCGAGTCTTGTCGCTCCTGGAACGCGAGCAGGAGGACGAATCGCATGAGGGGGGGATCGTGTAAGAAGGGAGGGATCGCGTGAGGGGGAGGGAGGGATAGAAGGTCAAATTTTACAGCGCACACGCGAGAACTGCAATCGAGAAATTTCGCTCGTTTTAATGAATAAACGGCTGTCAATTAATTTGATCTCACTTTATGTTTCAAGTCTCTATACTGATGACATGGCAAGATAATATATGAAAGTGTCAATGACACTGTAGCTCACCTTGGATGTGATAGAAGAGGGAGGGGGGATATATAAAGCAAGAGTATATATGGGAGAACTCCCATTATATAGCATATCTCCCATTATATACTCTTAATAATAATATATATACATGTTTTGATGCGAAAACAAATGTTTCAGATCTGAAAGTCTGAAATCTTGACGAGAGATGGTGCTACACCTAAATGATCGCCCATTTTTGCCAAAAAGTGGACGTGGGCGCTTCAAATGCTAGTGGCTCGATGACTGGCGTGCCTCCAAAATAGAACGTTCAACCTCTCCCATAGGAGTAACAACTATATGCAATTTAAAACATGTGGGTCAAATGGTTCTCGAGTTATCGTAGACGCTAGCAAATGTTTGACGACGGACGGACGTACGTACGGACGAAACACCATGGCAATAGCTCATCTTGACGATGTCAAGGCGAGCTAAAAATATAATAAAAGTCGGATAATAGTGGTAATATACTGATAGTATATATAAATATATATATGTATATGTATATATATATATATACATATATATATATATATAAAAACAAAGTCAAGGTATAGAATAAGGGTGTTTAATAACTTTAATTACGTGTGATTTTTGAGTCTGTTGCTTCGTTGTGGTGTGTAGTGTGTGTGTTGTGTGGTGTGTTGTGTGTGTGTGTGTGTGTGTGTGTGTGGGTGTGTGTGTGTGTGTGTGTGTGTGTGTGTGTGTGTGTGTGTGTGTGTGTGTTTGTGTGTGTGTGTGTCTCTGTATGTGTGTTTTTGTGCATGATATTATATATATATGCTGCGTGTTTCTTTTGTTGTCCGTATTCATGGCAACGCCCGCGAATTGTGTTGAATCATTCAATTTTTGATTATCTATAACGCATGTATTTGTTTTTGATTATTTGATTCTATTCCAATGTCAGCTGACCTGATGAAGAGATGTAATCTTGAAAGCTCGTCAATTAAACTTTAAACACCCTTATTCTATACCTTGAACTTTGTTTTTATCTACACGGGTGTTCGTGTGGACTTACTTCAATATATATATATATATATTTTATAATAGAGTGGGAATCATTCTCCCTAAACCGTTTCCAACTATGACGACATTGCCGAAGTAGGCACTCACCAAAACCGTGAGTACTTGGTCCATTCTACGCTGTGCTCAACCAGTGTCAGCGTCTGCACGACGCCCACCGCATCGTCGCTGTGCCACGCTCCCGCATTGGCTTACGAGGGCGCGCGCGTAACCCTGCACGACGGCATACGTATCGGCCGCCCTCCGCCTCCCGCAACTGTCTTCCGTAGGTGTGTTCAGTCGATCGGGAGAGCTGGGCTTCCTGCGTGGAATATGAGAGATGATAAGGTTTGTGTAGGAGGGTGCAACCAAGTCAGGCGATATATAACAGACAATAGTGCAAAAAGCTTTTAACCTGGAATTGTCTCTTGAAAAGGCGTACTGACCTTTCAGCACCAACCTATATGTGAATCAAGAACTAACTAGTATTATCAGTTAGTATCATCAAATTTGTATTTAGTTTAGATATCGAATTTCCAGCTTGGCACGAAGTATAATCTATGACCTATACCGGCAACTTGAATAGACCATCATAAGCAAGTCATTGGTCATCGTGAACATGCTCTGGTCTCTCTCACTATAGCTCCACAGTCGCATATTAGCCTAGCTTAGTACTATAGCTCCAAGCAACGACCAAGTACATCGAAAGACTCCTTATATTGACATAATCATTAGCACCATTTTTTATTTGTCTGGTTTACAGAATTTTTTTTTTTTACATTTAAATTTTTTTAATTCATATTTCTTTAGAAAAAAGGTCGGCAGAAATAAAAAAATACAGATTTTCAAATTTTTATTTGTTTTCGTTTTTCTTGAAAATTCGGGTCGGTTGTTTAGTATTTATGTTTATATTTTTTATGAGGTTATGTTTAGGGTTAGGGTTAGGGTTAGGGTTAGTGTTAGGGTTATGGTTAGGGTACACTTCTGTAGTACAAGTCTGGTACACTTTGTGTATACATATATATGTACCTCGGGTACATATCTGTAGTACCTGATACGACAACGACCCCTTGAGCCCCACTTACTTTCAGTAGCCTTGCCGAGCGAGAGCTGTCGCCAGTACAGCTTGTAGAAGATGCAGTGATAATCGCAGTCAATGCGAGAGCAAGTCAGTTCCGCAGGTATGTCAGCCATCATTCCATGCTCACAAGAACGTCAGGACTATGAAAAGATCAAAAATTAATCAATGGCCGATTTCGAAACCAGCTATTATCTAGTAGTAACACTAACAGACTCAGTACAGTAGGAGTATTTGAACCAGGGCTTGAAACTAACCTAAAATGTTCACTAGCCAGCAGGGCTAGTGACCTGTAAAATCTACTAGCCCTTAAAAATACCTACCAGCCCTTACTTTTCTGAAGTGCGGCACTGAAGCTACGCGGTGAGCACAGTTTTGCCATTTGCGCGGGGGGGGGGGGGAGTGTGAGGTGGTTTGATCTGGTTTTGATTTTAGATGCTCTGAGATGCATTCTGTGAAATTCCTCAACTTTGTGAAAATCTAGATTCAGTATAGATTCAGTATATACATCAGTACTATCAGCTGGTACTATGTTATAAGAGCAGAATAATTCCTTATAGTAACGATTAGAACTATTAGTCAGTTGTTTTTAGTTGAACCGTTTGTGACTATCTCTACTACAAGTACAGAGTTTGTTAATAGTTAGTACAAGTACAGTATAGAGTTAGATTTTTAGATTTTGAAATTTATTTACGCTTTCAAGTATATTACATTGTTACATATATCACAACAAGTTCTTTTAAATAAATACAGCGAGGGAGGGCGAATTGACTATACAGTCTTCAAGTCAGCCACTCCAAGTTATGTTGAGTTTATCCTGTTTGTGTTAGCTTGAGATTTGCAGAGTTGACTAAATATAAGCCACATAGCAGCGTGTTATGGGTAATGTTAGGATGAACATTGTATTATAAAAGGCATAGAATACCAGTTAGAGGAATGTAGGTATATATGCGGTTATTTTCATAACAGTACCTGACAAAACCGTGACTACTACTCCACGTCAATTATAGACACAGAGACTGGATTGTTTGAGGGTGATTCCAACTCCGTATAAGTAAAGTTGAGTTTCTAATTTGCTTATTTAGCAAACGTCAAATTGAAATCATCTTTTCGCTTGAAAAGGGCAGGGATTGTAGTGTTTAACCCTGAGGTCAGCTTAAACGTAAACTAACCGTTCCACCAACATAAACAGAAAGTAGAACAGAAACGCAGGGTGTAAAATTAACGGGAGTCCGGAGTCAAATACTCCCTGATTTACTGTCAGGCTCCCTGATTTGACATATGCAGGAGTCCATGTGACTCCCTGAAAATGCTGCCATACTAACTAGTTCGTTCCAGAGCACGGCCTCGCGGAATTACGCGTTTTTTTTCAGCTAATGATCAAAAAAATTTGGCCAGACCGTGCAACCGCATGAATCTTAATGAAAGTGTCAATGACACTGTAGCTCACCACAAATGAAAGTGCCAATGACACTGTAGCTCACCACAAAAAAAGACACAAATGAGTGATGAGAAGAAGTCAGTTTTAATTGAGCAAACATCGATGACATTATAGAAACCAAAGAGTATATATGGGAGAACTCCCATTATATACTCTTGATAATTATATATGTAATTATTTTATGTGAAAATAAATGTTTGAGATGTGAAAGTCTGAGATGTGTGCGAGTGATGGTGTTACACCTAAATGATCGCCATTAACGCTTTTATAATATTCAGATTTAGGCACTGCCTAAAAGCGGAGCTCCCGATGTGTAACCGTAAGATTGAGAGGATACGCTTATTCCACGTAGCTGCTATATACCACTGACAATGGTGTTTCCCTGCCCATAACACAACTTTTGTCAAAGCGTTAATTGGTTGCATGGAAGTGTTACTTCGTATGAGTTTTTCAGGGCGGAGCACACGGTTGCCATCTGTATATCCGAATAATATTTTATAAACCAAAATTGAATCACAATTTGTGACGGTAAGATGGCGGCTATACGCCTTTGATGTTTCTTAGCAATGGCGTTCGAAATAAATAGGTTATGCTGCGTTTCCGACATGTTTCTGTAAACTTTACTTTAATATAGACGTTTA